TGTCTGGAGGGGAATCATGAAAAGTCGGTCCATTCACCAGCTCTTCATTCCACCACAGTCATCAGCTTCACTTACAGTGGAACCATCTTCAGTTTGCCATGTCTTCCCCGGAAGTCCATATTCCTAACAAATTCCTTGATGGTGTCAACAACAAGCTTGGGCCAAAAGCCAGGGAATAGCATTATCCTCATTTGCTTCCCAAAAGAAAGAAAGATTATGCCACCATATATGCCTCCAAGCGGAGAGAATTCCATAAAGTAGGACTGCCTAGAGAAGGTTTGTTTTGTCTACATTCCATGTACCTTGCGAAGAAGGAAGATTCTCAACACACCCTCTCTCAGTGACTAAATCAGACAGGCAGCTTCAATTCAGGCAAGGCAGTACCTGATGTATTTCAATGCCGCTTCATGGAGGGCTTCAAAAGTAATAATCAGCACTTTGAATTGTGCCTTGAAGCCCATTGGTAACCGATGCAATAAGTTTAAAAGAAGGGTTATTCTACAGGTGCATGGTTATCCCACCAACAATCTAGTTACTATTATTTGTACCAGCTGCAGTTTTAGGATTATCTCCAAAGGTTCCCTCATGTAGAGTGTGTTGCAATAGCCCAACCTTGTAGTGATCAAGGTACGAGTTACTGTTGCCAAGGCATCCTGGACCAGGTAAAGCTGTAAATGGCACACCAGATGAAGCTGGTTGAAGTTCACCTTGGCCATAGCTCCCACATGCTGCAGGAGCTGAGAGTTCAGGAGGACACAGACCACCTCTTTCAGAGGAGCACTTGTCCAGAATAACCACTAGCACTTGTGTTTTTGGGGTGCCCAGTTATTTCCTGATGACCAGCAGTTCTGTTTTGGAGGGAAAGCTTGTTTCTAAGCTTATTTTCACCCCACTGAGGTCCTCACAGCCTCCAGACACTGATTCAGGGCTTCCAAAACATGGAAGTTATAACGGTGTTATCAGCATACTAGTGACACCTCACCTCAAACTGACATATGTCCTCTCCCAGTGGTTTCAGGTAGATGTTAAATAACATGGGTGAGAGGGCTGAATCCTGCAGTACTCCAGATTGGGTCAGCTGGCTCAAGCCCTTCTCACCCAGGACCACTGCCTAGAATAGTTCACTCAAGTAGGGGTAGTGCCCTCTGCCCCCAAACCACACAAACTGTCCAGGGATACCATGGTTGATAGTACCAAATGCCATGACAGGTCAGAATGACTAGGAAGGGTGCACTCCCCCCTACTGAGGTCTTGAGTAAGGTCATCCACCAGAGTGACCAATGCCATTTCTGTCCCACAATCAGGCCTGAATCTTGAGTGAAAAGGATCCAGATAATCCATTTCCTGTAAGTTTTTTTGTAGCTGGTCTCCTAGATACAATGTGTAGCCTTGCCCCTTTGTCAACCAAAATTTTGCCAGCTACAGATGAAGCCATTCCTGGAGATTCTTTCCTTCCCAATCAATTTGTCTGTGTGACACACTTCTATATGTGTGTGCCCAAAAGGGCAAAGCAGGACAAAGAACATTATTTTTGAATGATTGTTCAACTAATCACTACTGATTAAAAATAATTACCTGTATGATCAGAAACCCGTGTTTATAAAATTAACAGATCCCCCTTATTCATTTGCATCACAATCATTCTCTCTTACACATACAAAGGCACAAGTATGCAGAAATCCCACTGCTGTTCTCCAGCAGAAACAGCAGAGAAAAAAAACAGGGTGGAAATGGTGTGAGGGTAAGAAAGAGAAAATGGGAACCAGAATGGAAGGGAGATGAGTTTAAGGGAAGGGTGTAACTGTATAGGCAAGAAAAGAAAAGAAAAGAAAAGAAAAGAAAAGAAAAGAAAAGAAAAGAAAAGAGAGGAACTATTACTCTTCTTCCTGGGCAGGGGTGAATGTCTACCAGGAGACAAAGAAAGCATTGCCCTGTGGGAGATCAGGGCTATCAGGAAGAAGGGGCTGCATTCCAGCAGGGGAAAGGAGACAAAAGACAACACAGTCCAGGGAGTGGGGAACATGGGAAGAATAAGACATTCAGGATAGCCACTCCCTAGAATCCCCCATGGTATATCCACTAGTTGCTGTAGTATAGATTTAGTTTGGCAAGATTCTGTCTATAAGGTGTAAGCAAATAAAGGGACTGTACTCAACTGGACTGTTTCATCTTTGTTCTTGGGCTGGGCCTGACATGCCCTCACTTCTACCCCACTGAGAGGACTCTTGACAAAACAGGAAGTAAGTCCAGTGCTAGTGGAGGTTCATCCATCCATGGATTCCACACCTATTTTTGAGTTCCCACGCTTAGATCCCTCCATATTTGACATTGCTTGATCCTAGATCAGCTCCACACACCTGTGTGATCTCACATTGTCACCATTGTTGTTCCAGAACTAATAATTTGCAGGTCAGTCACATGGAAGAGGAATCATCACAAACGCTGCAGCTCTACTGTAGAAGCCTAGAAGTGGGCAGTTTTCAGTTTGGTGCTCTTGTTTTCTCCCACCTCCCAGCTACCCGGTTCCCCCTTCTCCCCACTGAAGTTATGACACCATGGTACCACCAACCTCTTTCATGGCTCTTCTTCCTATAAAGCAGGGAGATGGGTTTGCAGCTCTCCTCATGGTTGGCCCATCCTTTTTTTTCAATCACTGTGAAAACATATGTTGAACCAAGTTAGGGCAGGGCTGGGACACAGATTATCTGCCAAATTATGTATGTCCCTAGCTGTCAGCTGGAGGAAATGCTGGTCAACATAAGTGCAGTTTGCAGCTCAGCAAGTATTGCAATACGGTGAGAACAATTGCAGAACTCAGGAAGGATTTGGGAGATAAAAATAGCCCTGTGGAAGAGGCTTCTCTCTTTCGGTAGCACCTGCCACCCTCTAAACAGCGTCTGCATCTAATCTTATGAATGTAAGAAAGCCGTCTCCTCAATTTCAGAGATAATGATTTGAAAAAACTTGTCTTCCTTTTGGGTGAATATAGAAACAAATTAACCACAATGCCATTGTATGAGGCATATTCATATCCACCTGAACATTATTGTAATTTCTCATTAAGGCTATTACTGGATAGCCAATTCCTGTAATTTTTCAATGAGTCACACTTGGAAACATTCTAGAGGCCTAGATAATGCCTACCATTCTATCATCTGCTAACTCAAAAAAAAAAAATCACCTGCAAACATCAACCAACTACTTACATACAAAACAAAAACTTCCCAAGTTCTAAAAAAAAATTAAAAAATTATCAAGTGTAAGATGCTGTCCTCTCTGATGAACTGGCTCAAACTGGCAACAACAAGTATGTTACTGTACCTAAAACAATCTAGAATCTAAGCTCAACCCAAGCACCATATATTCAACATAGGGACTCAGTCAGACTCCCACTTGATAACAGAGAAGGAAGCTTTCTGCTGGATCTTATTTTCTCCTTCATGTAGTAGGTGAAAAGGGTAAATCCCAAATTATCTGGCAGTTTCCCACCAGGAAATATCTGGGTTTATTTAGACAGACCAGATATATTAAGAGGACAGGTGAGGACTACTAGATCTAGGCTACAAGATCCACATATGGTGGCAATGAGAGTTTAGAGTTATTCTCTGTCTCTTTGCTGCCATCTAGTGGATTCCTGTAATCCAGCTCTGATAGCCCTATTACTATTTATGCTGATGAATTGCAATCAAGTCACAACAATATATAACACAATAAAACTTCTACAACAACAACAACAACAAATCAAACTAAACCTAAGGTGCAATAAATAATACACAATAGTACTAAACAAGCTAGTGAAATCCAGTTTGGATGGTAAACAATCATTCACTAAGGCTGTCTGGAAGAATACGGTTTTCACAACATTCTGGAAGGACATCATGGAGGGGGTCAGCCTGGCTTCTAGGGGGAGACTTTCCAGAAAATAGATGCCATGATGTAAAAATAGTGTTTCTTGGCTTCAGACCTCCCTCGTTTCATGAAATTGGACCATCAAGAGGTTATAGGTGCTTAGATCTTATTGGGGCCTGCAGATAAAGCATAGTCAGCTAGCTTGTGAGTTCATTGGTAGCTACTAGAGGTCATCCATTTCAGCTGTCAAGTCCACCAACTGGACTCTTATTGGGTTCTTGTATGAATTTTAAGAAGACACATGCATGATGCACTGAACTTTCTGCTTAAGGTGCTTTGCCTCACTGGAAGAGCAGGCATCTTTTCCAGCACAGTCCAAAATGGGCCACACATTTGTGTGAGTGAGCAACAGAACTGCCTAATGTTGTAAGGGAAAAAGCTGCGTCCATTTTTTATACCGAACAGTGTTGAGAAGCCTTGCTCATTAACATTTCCCCCAGGATGGGTTTTAGAGAGCTTCTACCTCAGGAAAAGTCCCGGAAGCATGTCGTAACATCAAAGATGCATTAGATACAAACACAGGGCAAGTTCAGTTCTGCTTGACAGCTGGCTGGTAGGCACTCCCTAGAAAATGTGTCCTAGCAGGGAAGGGTCAGTTGCCAGCACAGGTTTCTACAGGCCCTTCTAGAAAATTGGTTTCAAAAGACCCAGAGAGTCCCACTATAGGGGGGATATAGAGATATCACAGATTTACCCCAGCTTCCTCCAGCCTAACCATTTAGAGAAGGCATGACTTCACTAAGTTTCAAAATACTTAAGGTCAAGAGACAAAGGATTTAATTTTAAACTTCTTTATCATTTTCAAAATTCCAACATAATATCTGTTTTCCCTCAAAGAGTAAATAACTAGAAAAGCCAACAAAAAAAAACTATGGAAGTGCCAGTACAATCCTAGTCTAAAAAAAATAGTCCCCCTTTAGAAAAAAGGGGTGTGTGTATGTGTAAAAAAAGGTAAAAGGAATACAATATAAGCACTAAGACCACTATATAGGAATAGATAAATAACAAATAATACATTTACAGATATAATAAATAAGCAAATGAACAACATTATAAACCAATAATAGCTAAGACAGACCATGTTCTAAAACTTCTGTAACAATTGATGTAATTATAATGTATAACATATTAATATGCACATTTCCCCAATGCATTTCAACTATCCGTGTCTTCCTCAGTGATCTTTTGACAAGGCTGTATCACTTCTTTAAAATAAATGAACAGAGTTTCTTTCAAAGTTAACTCTGAAGGCTGTGAAAGTAACATCAGATTTTTCCTGTTTAGTCAATTGTGCAGAAAACGTTCTGTAACAATAAGGGGCAAAAAGGAACTGCAGCAATATATATTTCACTTACCCTTTCATTGTATGTATGATGACAACCTCCTAGGTTAATTCAGGCACTTGTTCTGTTTTTGCTATCTACGGTATTTTAAAGGCCGTGTCTCCAGTGCTACAACTGACAACAGTGATATTTTGAGCTGTTGTTCTGGAACCCTGGCACTTTGGCTATGCTTGAAAATTTAGTCCTCTAAGCTTTGCAGATGAACTATAACAGGAGCCCAGCCTCAGCGCAGAAAACTCTGCTAAATGCCACTGTTAAGTTGTGCTGACTCCACTGTTTGACAACTTTTAGTGAAGCAATGCACTCCTTGTAATACTTTATGAATGAAATTAGCTTTAATAAAAACAAATGAACACCACGAGGGTAAATACGAATCAAAAGCAGGCCTGTCTCTACCATCTACTGAGTTTGACGTTAGCTAATTTGCTGCTGTCCAGACAGTTGTGACAAAACTGTAAGCATGTTTTGAAAGAGTGCTAAGAAGACAGCAAATGAGCAGCAGCAGAAGATGCAGCATTGTCATTTTCATACAATGTTCCTCAGCCCAGATGCCTTCTAGGCTTCATAGGATCAGATTTTATGCTTTTAAAAAATTAAAATCAAATTAAAAAACAATATGCTTATATTGCAGTCATGGTAGCAAAGGCCCACCAAAGCCCATGTTGCAATAAAAAAATTGAAAGTAATTTTATGTTACTTTATTCTCTGTATAAAATGAGATGTCTGCCATAAGATTATAATGAGATCCTAGCATGATGTATGAGCTTCTCCCTCCAACACCAATCACTCCACCCATTCTCCCTTCCCCACCTGCTAAGAAGCAATAGGACACACTTTTGTTTGGCTGGAGGAAGAGTTTGTGTATGGGTCACAAGAAGCTCTAACTGCATCCTCATTTCCTGTTGAACTGTCAGAGACAGAGGAATACCTTTCTCAGCAAACTGTCTCACCACATCAGTCACTTTGATGCTTGTATTTCTAAGAATATGGGAAGGGTTGGATCTTCTCTGGTTCAGACATACCAGGAATGGAGAAGGCATTTCTGGACAAAACTGGTCTCTGAGGTTTGTGCATGTTCCAGAAATGAGCATTGCAACAGCTTGTAGGAGGAAACCTCACCCAACCTGGTCCTGAGAATTCTTGCTTAATGAACAGGGCGAGTCCTTGTGCGTGAAACAGCATTTCCATTCACCACAACATCTCTGACACTGAAATTAATGGGGAGGGCAGTAGATGCTGAAAACTCCATATGCTGGTCAAAATATCTGAGACTGGTTCAGAGGATCCAAATGTTGCTAGATGATGTTCAAGTATTGCTTTGTACTGCATATATTCATTTTGGCTTAGATTCTAGAAGCATTTTCTTTTCCTGTCTTAAAAAAAAACAACAATATTTAATCCATCTGCAGCTGGGGGAAAATCTCCCTCTAGAGCAGTGTTTCTCAACCTTGACAACTTCAGATGTGTGGACTTCAACTCCCAGAATGCTGGCTGGGGAATTCTGGGAGTTGACATCCATGCATCTTAAAGTTGCCAAGATTGAGAAACACTGCTCTAGAGAATATTTTGAAATATTTTGAAGATTCAGCTGTCTTTCAGAAAAATAAATGCCATGTTCCACAATGTCATTTCTGAAACCAATTATATGCCATAATGTAAAGGAAGAAATGGGTCAGATAAATCCATTTTACCATCAAAGGATTGCAATGCAAGTTTTATTAAATGGCATCATAATTTTTTAGATTTGTCATAATCCAATTTTCTCAATAACATCCTGTTGAATTGGGCACTTGTCATTTTGGGATGCTTGCAATATGTTCTTGATGCTCCGGGAATTCTATTCAGTGGTTTGCTTCACTACACTGAGCCTTGAAAACAAATTGAATTCCTATCAAAACGTGCATTTATTTCATGTATATATGAAATAAAAACTTCTCTACTGCAGTTTTAATTTGACTCAAATATTTAGTTGCCACGAAGATATTCTTGTCTAATATTTTCCTACTATTAATTTTCCATTTGGCTAATAGGATGTATTTGTACCACTTGTTTTCTTTGTTTCCCTCCTTTCAGTTATATAACTTTTTTATTGGATACACTCTTGTCAATGAATATCTGGAAAAGGAATAAATGCAAGGATTGTACAAGCTTTGAAAGAACGCTTTGCTTCAACAATACATCAAGCAAAGCAATCTGGGGGGCTATTTTGTGAAGCCTCTGCATCACTTTGCTTTGACCGTCTCCTCTAGCATTTCCAGAAGCCATGGTCACAGACACGCACACACCCCTCCTTTCTGTAGAGATTATGAAACTGAAAAGTTTCATTGATGCATATTGAACTACTGTTATCCAAGGATACATTTTCCAGAGTAACTGATAATTGGAACAATCTGATATCTGTAATAAAAATATCCTGTTCACCTGAATTTTGACTCTATTGTAAATGCATGTACTTAGCATATGACATTTGAAGCAATCCTGCATCTAATTTTGGTTTATCTTAATAACTTAATTGCTAAAGCTTGGTAATACAGCTAAGCCCTCTGCTTCAAGGGCAATCATGTTCCTCATGAACAACAAAGGATCTTGAGATGTTACTTCAATTCATGACAGGAAATTGCGTAAGCAGTGTTGTAGGAGAACTAAAAAGCCCCATCTTTGCTAAAGAAGTCTTAACAATCCAAAGTTCTAAGCAAGACTTATGTAAATTTTGTTTATGAGGTGTAAGCCATAATGCAAAGTGACAGCCCTCTTTCTGATGTATATTGCCTGGGGGCCAATTGTTTAGGAATGTTTTGGCAAAAATAGTAACCTAGTTTTTGTAAGGAAAAATGTTACCTTGTATCTGTTATTCTCTGTAAATGTGAATATTTTTCCAGGGTCAAAATAAAAATCCGAAATGTGTCAAGAAGTTAAATTCAAGGAAACTCTAGCTACTTGCCAGTAGAGACCTATTAGCACTAATAATAAATTGCACAACTTAAGCTGCCCTTTTCTCCTTTATGGATGTTTTTGTGGACTGAAACAGGATGAAAGAAGTGGTGAAAAATATAGGATGCCTAAATGGGAATGATCTCATGATGGAAGGCAGGATGAAAGAATGTGCTAATTTTTTAAAAACCTATCCAGTTTGGAAGGGATCCAGACAAATTTTGAGGCAAACAGAAGTAAAATTCAGTTCAAAGTACAGAAAATATAAATACACCTTCTTGCATTATAAGTTAAATTGATCCCAAATATTTATCTGAAAAAGTCCTAATGTTTTGCATTAGGCAATGCCTATAGTAGTATACATAGCATTCCTTCCAAACTTATCCCACAGTAACAATCTCGTCAGGTAGGTTGAGTGGAGAGGCAGCAACCACCCTAGCCTGATCACAACAAGCTTCTATGACTGAGGGTGGCACCGAACCTATCCAACATCTCAATCACGATATCACATTGGAACTCGAGTCTCTGCACTGTTCTGTCTGTCTGACGCTTGAGGTGGCTTACAGCAGTTAAAATACAATTCTCATTATGCCTTGCCCTTGTTATATCTTACTAGGTAGGGAGGAGGGATAGATGAGACTCAGGAGCCAATCTATCCCTGACTATTTGCCAGATAATCTGCATGGGCGGGCAAATGTGCATTTAACAGATAAACAGCATAAGATGTCTCAATCCAGGCAGGAGCCAATAGAAACCAACAGCTCCATCCACTGGCATTCATAAGTTTTCCAAATGAACGTGCTTTCCCAGTGTCAGCCCCACTAGGTTGACCAAACACAGATTCAACTCCCCACGAAAGCTAAAACTACTTTTATGCAGATTGGCTATAATAACAAAATCTCACAAGTCGTTGTGCTGTCCCCCCCTCCTCCTCCTCCTCCTTCTCCAGTAAATTAGAGAGGCATCTATCTGAACTACATGCAAATGTTCTCTCTTTTCTCTGGACTTTAAAAAATGCTTCAGTCCATTTTGCCTAGGTAAGGGTTCTTGCATATTTCCATCAAGGTCATTTTCCCTACCCTCTACACCCAGCAATGGGCCAAGATGAATCCCAAAGTGATCAAGGGATGTTTGGCAGGGGTTTGCCACTGCAAGTAGTTTGAAAAGCGCACCTTCTCTGTAGTAGCACCTGCCCTCTGGAATGAGGTTCCTCCTGAGATCTGGATGGCCCCCATTCTGCTGTTGCTTACAAGCGCTGTGAAGACCTGGCTCTTCACCCAGGCCTTTGGGGAGGGAGACTCCTCACTTCATCACACTTGAAATAGGTTATCTTTATTTCTTATATTTTATTAAATTATTGTAATTTCTTTAATTGTTGTGTGCCACCCACAGTCTTTGAGAGTCAGACAGCATGCAAGTTTAATAACTTATTATTAAATTATTATTATTTTCCTAAAAAGAATTTGTGTAGATTAAGAATTCTGCAGCTTACTGGTCCCCTCTAGTGGCTGCATTTCATATGGCTACTCACCTGAATTGTAGGCATTGTGGGAGGAGAGCCATAGTAGTCTGTGGTAGCAAAAAATCAGGAGTCTGAGTAATTTTATTAAAAGGCATAATCTTTTGTGAGCTGCAACTCACTTCATCAGTTGCATGGAGTGGCTTGACGGATGCACAAACCCTGACTTCTACTTTGCCCCCATATCGACACCAACAGCATCATCACAGGCCCCAACATACACAAGATTATAGGCACCTTCACATGCTTTTCTTCTGTGATATATGCCATCATCTGCCAGCAATGCCCCCACTGGATTCTACCTAGGAAAAACAGAACAAACTTTGCACAAAAAACTTAATGGACACAGGTTTGACATCAGGACTTAAAAGGACAAAATAATATCAAATCACTTCAATTTCCCAAGACGCTGTTGCTGATCTCAAAGTGACCATTTTGGAAGAATGAGACTTCTTTTTTACTTTTTATCATTTTCTTCATTTGTATTAGTTTTTTTATCTTTGTAAACTTGAATAACAATTATTTTAAAAAAGGAAAAATGAGATTTTAAGGGCATTACTGAGTGAGAGATTGATGAACAACCATACATCAAAAAATTTCAGGCTATCTCAACAAATGTAATGGGTTTTAACACACTACAGTTGTTAATTGATAAGGTACTGTATTCACATCTAACCTGCAACTGCATAACCAACCTGCCTTCACCTCCCATCCCAGCTGAAATCCTACCTCAGTGAAGTGATGCCTTTTAGTAAAATGTGTTTGTCAGAAAAGGTTCTGAGACTCCTGATTTTCAACTGAATTGTGTAATCTGTGGTCACTTCCTGTCAGACCGCCTTCAGTCAGCAGGGTCTTCTAATTCCACAATTAAAATACAAGCTGAGATTGACCAGGCTGTTTTGGCTATTTCCATATTGATTAAGTTGCAATACTATCAGAACAGGTAGATTTTTGTATTCACGAGTCTATGGAATTCGCAGAGAATCAACAGCCAATCAGCACTTGTCCTTTGAGGCTAATTTGACTATACCAAGTCATTAGCCAATCAGCATTTTGATCAGGAGTTGCTGACCAGGAACAAGTGCCTCATCCTGCCAACCTCCATTTCAGGCCAAAACAACTACCCCCTTCCCTCTCTTAAAAAAATAAAGTATAAGATGAAAAATCCTGATATTTCTGTGGGAACAGTGCTGCCACACCCCCTTTTGCTAGTTTGGGCTTTTGAGTCACTTTACAGTCTGGACACTGCCTTGCCTCAAGAGTAGGGCGGAACAAGCTGGACATTCCTTCCAATCACAATGTATCACCATTATAAGGGAAGGAAACATTAATGGGAAAACTTCCTTTTTGGGATATCACCAGTCAGACTTGGAAATTCTGCCCTGATAATATGGGCTGGTTTTCCTTTCATTCTTTTTTATTATTATTATTGAAATAGTAATCTGAAATCTCCACAAAGACCCCTGTTATTGGATGCATTAAAAATGTAAGAAATAAGGGATAGATGGAACGTAAGTGGGAATACTACCTTTGCTTCTATCCAGCATCTATGACATGCTCATAGTGCATAGCTGAAATACAAGATCCCAGAAGGATCAAGATTTAACACCCCAATGGTGAGACTTGTCAAAGGAGCCTATGGGACTAGTGCTAATTATTGTCATATTGCTGATTTCCTCACCTTGTGGCCTCCAGATCTGTTGTTGTTGATGTTGCTGCTTCAGTTTGGGCCCCTTCTTCCTATCTTTAGGGCAGTCACTCAAAGCATGACCAAGATATGGGTAACGTCTGACTGGCTCAAGAAGAATTTTAGCTGACGCAATAAATGTAGTTGTGCAAACATATTCTTTGCCACTAACGTTACCAAGGAATCCAGAGACAAATGAGGCCCAAACTGTTAACCTCTTTTTCAACAGGGATGAACTGCATCTAGAAGACTGAGCCACAACGCCTGTTTTCCTAATGATCAACAGCATCTCTATCTTGTCTCGATTTAAGTTCAGCTTGTTCATTCTCACCCAGCCCATTACTGAATACAGGCAACCATCAAGGTGATCATTTTCATTTTCTTGGGAATTGGATTACAAAGAGCAGTAGAGCTGGATACTTCTGGTGCCTCATTCCAAAGTGCTGGACAGTGTTTCCCAGATGTAAATATTAAACAGGAAAGGCGACAGAACTTGGTGAATACTATAAGCCAACAAGTATTAAATAGTAGTCCCCCAAAATCAGCTTCTGAACATGATCTGAAAGGGTGGACCAGAAGTGATGCAAAATAGCATCCTTAAGGCATAACCTTGCCAGGTGATCCAGGTTAATGCTATGGTTAATGTGAGCAGCTGTAAGAGATCCAAGAGGAGAAGTAGAGCCGCATTTCCCCCATCCAGTTCCTAGTGGAGTCATCTATCCAAGTGACCCAAGCAATATCAGTTTTGTATCCTGTCCACATCATCAATATTTTCCATATGCACATGGAGTTGCAAGACTACTACCTTCTGACTCACCATAGGTAGAAAGAACATGCATTGACTCTTCAATGGGTTTCTTTTAATAATGGTCTTGTAACTGCCTTCTTTAAGCCAAAGGTAACATTTTATTTCCACAAGGAAATTGCCTTCCATAATCATGGGACTGTTATATCCTGGCAAATTTGATTATCAACGAGGACAATTAATGTGGTGGCCTTCACCTGTCCAGAAAATTTGTTCATAGCCTCAAAAGCCACAATTTGAAAAGCATCTAAAATAACAGGAAAAGTGGGCATTGCTGTACTCTGTCCCAGTACTGGAGTTCAAACTGATCTGATTAACCTTATTGATAAAAAATGTTCTTACATGTTGCAGACAATGACAGCAGTACACTATCCTATCTGGAATCCAATACAGGAAAGAAGTTTTGCTTTGCTTTCCTAGTCACTATTTTTACCTCTCTTTTAATTATCACATTTGGCACACATTTTCTAAATTTTGATGAAGCATACAGAATTGAAAATGAAAGTTTCAAGATGACTGTATTTAAAAGCAGAAGTTAGAGGAGAGCATGGATGCCATGCTGCAGAAATGAAACTTGGAAAGTGTGAAATGCATACCATCAATTTGTACCTACTTAGTCACTCACACAGGTGGCCTTTGAGGCTACAAAATGCTAAATTCCAAAAATACAGCGGTGTCATTGTTCACTGCTCACAGACCGAGTTTCTTCAAGATATCTGTGGGATGCCCCATATAAACATATAGATTTTACTATGTCGGATTTTCTTCTACAGAAGAAAAAAAAATCATTCTATCTTGCGAACATATAATAATTGGGAATCCTAATTGAATTGTTTTCATTTAAGAATCAGTGGTACAAATTCTTTATGGTAGAAATCAGTCTTTGGCATTCATCCCAGCAGCATTTCCAATACACGTGCACCCCATTCCTCACGTAACACTTGAAAACTGACCTGTCATCTTCATTTCTGCTGACCTTCAAAATGTAGAGATCATCATGAGCTCATCAATACTCATCTTTTTTTCCTGTCCAGCTGATCAGTAAGAGGATGCAACCAATTCCATCCAACCAGGAATATGCCATAGGTACTTTTCACAATAGCTATGACTTCAGTTGCAAATTGCTAAGGTGGATGGATTAGGGGCTGCATTCTAAGCATAAAGGAAGAGGCAAGGTATAGGTATAGGATGCTGAACCACCTTTGAGGAACAGGGAGAGAATGTAATAGCTGGTTTGAGAACAAACAGATCCAGAGCTGACCCTGAAATGGTGCACAGTACTAGTATGAACATCCTTAGCATGGATTCAGGCTGATTGTTCAGTAAGACTCTTCCTTCTACATGCTGATGGCATATATTCAAGCTGAAGAGTGATAATGTTAAGTAATTTGCCTTTAGGTCATGGAATAAATGTGTTTGTCTAAAATATTCATAGCTTGCCCATTATCCAGAGGATCTCCAAATTGAAAAGAACACATACTTTTCAAACCAAATAAGTTACATGCTAAAGGAACTGGCAATTCATATTTTAAGAGCAACAGGAATAAAAAATAATACAGAAAATAAAGCTTTTCTCCTGAGCCTCATGGCAATAAAAATCACGGAGCTCTGGTTTGTATGATAGAGTCCATCATCACATATATACATACCTATCATGTGTTGTACAGAGTGTCCAATGAATTGCTGTTGTGTGTTTCTCCTTAGACTTGTGCTTCTCATGAGAAGCAAGTGTAGACCATTGGGCTATAAGAAAGGAATCTGAAACAGGGACAACAGAATAAACTATATTTGCCTCTAATGTTGGTCCAGAGCAACCCTTCCTACATGCAAAAATGTTAGGCAAAACATAGAAACATTACATGTTGTTGTCATCAAGACTAATTCATAAAGGAAAAAAAAAATAGCTGCAGCACTGGGACAAAGCAACCAACTAGAGAGATTTTTGTATTTTAACTTTGCCTTGGGAGCAGAAATCAATTATAGTGAATCTGACCTAAAATTGAGAACCAATGTATGGAGAGAGAGTAGAAGAGGGAAGGACCTACACCTCTTCTTCCAGTTCAACCTTCCCCACCCTGGTGTCTTCCAGTTTGAACTAACTCCCATAATTATCAGCTGATAACCATGATGGCTGTTGAGTATTTGAGTTGAAGTCCAACACACATCTGGGTCTTTTTTACTTATTCTACTGTGGTATTAAAACTAACCATGGTGAGCACAGTTGGCTTTCCTCCTCATATTAGAAACAATTTGGGGGTCTTTGGCAACCAGAGAGCTCAAGAGGGACTGGGGGTATAAAGCCATGTAGAATCAAGAAGGAACTGTACCAAATATGACCTTGGAGAAAGTATGCAATGGTAGTTAGTAAAACATTTTTTTACAGGAAGAGAACATTGGAAAGAAATTTAAACTGGCTCAGCCTTAACTTTCTTGCTATAAGAGGGAGGAAAGGGGAACCACTGTCAGGCTTTCAAGATTCAGTTACTATAGCCTGTATCAATAAAACAGAGTTATAGTATTTCTTGTGGTATTTCCCAATCTGGACTACCTCAAAGGCCTGACAGGAAGTTGTGATTCCTTCAACGGATGAAGCAGTGCACTAATGGAACACCAAATGTGATACACCAGAACTCACTGCCAAAACCATCCTCACCCACAGCTCAGGTCCTCCCTAAGAAGCTCATCAGTTCAAATTCATATTGGCATTCCTGGATTTGGAGTGGTGGGTTTGGAGTAATGTGAATATAGCTATCCTGTCCACATATCAACATCTGGCTAGTCTTGCCCATAAATGCAGCAGCAGCATACCAAAGATCCACGGGCCAAGCGGTCACTGCCCTGTTAGGTGAGTGAAGTCCTAGTTCAGATATGAAGTGAAATATGTTTCAAAGATATGCTTTTTGTTCTTACTGATAGGATATTTCAAAACGGCCACAATTACTGACCCACAGTGGACCAATGGGACTCTACACAGCACTTCCATGTTCTGCACTGTAATGCAGTGTTAATATACAAAGCTATGTGCTACATTTGCAGCCGTCCTGCAGATCTGGAGAATATCCGTCTCAGCTTCCTGACTCTAACGCTACAAAGGGGAATTTCTTGAGCTAGAAGCCCTGTTACTCAATGAATCAAACATTTTAGAACTTGAGAGACTGGTCCCTCCTTAGACACGAAGCCAGCTGGGCGACCTTGGGCCAGTCACCCTCTCTCAACTCTAGAAGGAGGCAATGACAAACCACTCATGAAAATGTTGCCAAGAAAACTGTAGGACTTGAAGACACAAATTTAAACACATCAGCTGGGATTACCCATTATGCTAAACCAAAATATGGTATAGTTTTGGATACACCTATTGTGTGAGCCTAGTTATAGTGGTTTGTAAATCATGATTTATAGTTTAACATACTGTGCCAATTCAGCTGTGATTTATTCAATCTGCAAATTAGATATTTGCAGATTAGAATCAGTCTGTCTGATTCTCTCGCACACGAGAGAGCGCGCGCGCGCAACCCCTGAGCGCCAGCCTGTCCTATCCCTTTAAGGGAGCGTTTCTATGCGTGTAGCTCCCCGCCCATCCCACCCGAGGCGGAAAAGCGAAGTGAATCCTCTGCGCTTCTGGTTTTGGAGGGTAGTGTTAAAAACCGACAACTTTAGCCTTGCTTCACTTTGCAAGGACCGTCGCACTTGCAGGACAGCTGGCCTCAAAGCAGGAGCGGCCATGGAGCCAGGTACGCCCCCTCTCTGGGCAGGGGAGTAGGGAATAGGGTTGGGGGCGACTCAAGGATCTTCCCAATCGATGCGTCTCTTTCGGGGTTCTGCTCTTGCCTCGCTCCGGTTTTATTCGTAGAAACCACTGTGCGCGCAATCCTGCTCTACCTCCAGCCCAGAGCAAACCTGGTCCGAAGACGTCTCACGTTTTAGCCTTTACTTGAACAGCCTTTTTCCTTCCTTGTTGCCCGCTTGCCTCGGACATTTGCTGCTCTGCGGAACCGCAGAAGGTTTGGGAGCAAAGAGGAAGTCCGACAGTGAGCGTGCTTTGTAGGAGGGAGAAACCCTGCGCCCTCGGGACCCGAGAGCGAGCCTTGTTGTCGCTGTCGGACGCAGAAGGCAGTCCTGAGAGAGGGCTGCGGACTGGTTGGAGTTTCGTTTCGTTTCCTCTGAATGTTTCCTACAGGTGGCAACGTGTACGAAGAGCCGCGGGGGGGCGAGGTGCCTCCTGGCGGACGCGAGATTGATGACGTAATGAATGGACCTGTCCTGAATGGGGCAGATGTGCAGGTAAGAAATACTTTCCCCGCTCCATAACATCCAGGACCTGGATGGCCTTGGCTCGCTCCTTCCGTCCTTCGATTTACCTCGCCGCCCATCTCCCCAGCTGCGACTCTGGCTTGAGAAGCTAAGTGAGATGGGAGCTGGTTGTAGGCTAGCCTGGGAAGTCATAAAAGTATCCCATAATAAGACAGTGGAAAATCACTTATACATTGTCGGGGGGAAAAACCCGACTATATGGATGTGTCTAGGAAATCACTGTATGGCCAGCTTGGCTTAAGGGTATCTAACTTTTTAATAATCTAAGGGACCCTCCCCCAACCTGGTGCTCTTCAGAGGTGTGGGATTTCAGATTTCAGTTCCCAGACTGGAGAAGGTTATTCTAAGGAAATCTGTCTTGTGAAGGATGTGTGCTTGTGTGTATCACACTGCTCTAAACAATTTACAAAAAAAGTATCTCAACCTTGGCCACTTGAAGACGTGTGGACTTCAACTCCCAGAATTCTTCAGCCAGCATGGCTGGCTGAGGAATTCTGGGAATTGAAGTCCACACATCTTCAAGTGGCCAAGGTTGAGAAACACTGGTTTAGAGAGTTTAAACATATTACTTTGGGGGGCGGGGGGAAAGGTTAACATGCAACAAGTGATTGCCGCCTTCATTCTTATTCTTTCAGAACTAGTGCTGGAGAGATGGAACCTAGCCAGACTTATATATATGAAGTAATATTTTTCAGTATGGCTTTCAACCAGCTTTTAGCAACATAAATATACAATTGTTTCCCATAAGTTGCAGCCTTCTTCGACACCTTTCTCAGGGAAGTGCTTCTTTTAGAGCTGAAATGTGGCATTTTCCCAATGCTTAAGCTGCAATATTTTGTCATGGTGACGAAAGCAGTCTTTGCCAGCTTGATGTGTTTCCTGCCCTTACAAATGGTAGGGGGATATTTTCTTCCTTTATTGTAACTTGCACTCTCATGTGCCTTCCAAATTTGCTCTGAACATGATTGAATACAATCTTTGCATTTTTTTCATTTTCTTCAACATTTTTACAGAATGACCATATTTTATTTATTTATTAATCAAATGTGTATAGCCACCCATCTCACAGAAAAGCGACTCTGGGCAGCCTACAACAATCCAATAAAAACAACACATACATAAACACTCAGTATAAAAAAATATTAAAAGACATATTAAAAGACATATGATAAATATACAAACCCTAGGCAAGAGAGAATAAGGATAGCTAACTCAGCAATGGAGCCTTCTATGTCTCCAGTTCCCTGGGAGCCTCAGGCCTGGTGACATAACCAGGTCTTGAAGGACTTCCGGAAGGTCAAAAGGGATGGAGCTATTCCAATATTGGGGGGAGGGGATGTTCCACAAAGCGGGCGCCACAGCAGAGAAGGCCTAATGCCTGGGACCCACCAAATGTACATCCCTAACTGATGGTACCCTCAGCATGCCTTCTTTGCTAGATCTGATAGGGTGTGCTGATATAATCGGGGAGATGCGGTCCCTCAGATAACCTGGTCCCATGCCATGAAGGGGATATAGCATCCAAGTGCAGGAATGTATTATTTTAAAAGCAACAAAAGTGGGACAAAACTACCCTCATCCATAGCACTATTAACATGTCACTTAAACAACAACAAAAAACAAAACTTTTAGTTTTTGAAAACTGAGTTATTCGAAACCACTAGGAAACAAATGTATGTACATATATTAGGTCTGATGGTCAAATGCCACCTAAGGACTCCTTTTTTACCCTCTCATGTGCACAGTTTTCTCTGCAGAAATGCCATCTGTATTCTATTTATTTATCTATGCAATTTCTATAGCTGCCTATCTCAATCCAAGGGACTCTGGGTGGTGAACAATTTCAGTAATTTTTACTTAATTTTCATATTTATAAATATATTTATGAATCATTCATAGAAATTATAAATAACATTTTTTTAATTGGATGAGTATTTCACTGAAGCAAAATAACGAGTGGGTGTAATCTTTCTTTGGCATCTATGTATGGGAAAGCCATCTGCCTGTATTACAATCATGCTAAAAGTTTTCCCTTTACAAACATATGTATGTGTTTATGCATATGCTTCTCAACACTTATACCTGCTTGCATTCGTTGCATTTCTTCCCCAAAACAGCCCTGCCCTGGAGAACAGAACTCTCAGAGTATGGCTGACCTTCCTTGGCTATGATCCCAGCTTTGATTGCAGGCCACCTTCTCTCCCTCTGCAAAATACGTCTGTCTGTGTGTCTTAACCACTTCACAGAGCACTTTCTTCCAACTCCTCATGATGCTTCTGTCTTCAGCTGGAGGACTTTGTGGGGGCTCATGCTGAATATAACGAAGAGGAAGAAGAGCGAAAGTACTTCCGCCGCAAGCGTCTTGGGGTTGTCAAGAATCTTCTGGCAGCCAGCGTGGCAGGAATGCTGACCTATGGGGTTTTTCTAGGTAGGCATTGCATGTGTTACTATCTCCTCCTTCTGCCATAGATTTATTTATTTATTGTTAGACAAATGTATATGGCTGCCCATCTACCAGAGGAACTATGGGTGGCAAACAAAACTGAAAGCATAATACAAATATCAAAATCAATTTAAAGAGGGGGAAAAAAAAAAAGGACAAGGCCCCAATAAAAATCTCACACCACTGATCACGCACAAGCATGCCAGAGCTCCATTAACATCCTGGCCCCAGTATGGGAGAAAAGCCAGGTCTTCACTGCCTTCCCTTTTTATTTTATTTTTTTTATTGAGAGTTTTTACTTACTTAAAAATTAAACAAGAGTATATAAAGAGGAAATAGAAAAAGATAAAAGAAGCGCTAGAAACAGTGCAGATAAAAAAAGAAAAGTTAAAGATGCGACTTCCCATCTTCTTTACGCAGATGCAAACTTTTATTATTTCTCCTTCTTTAGAGTTACATTATTTAGTTCCCTTCTTCCCATATTTCAACCATTTTTAATCAGCAAATCCAGAAATCACCCGTTCATTTTCATCCATTTTCAGCAAAGTCCATAAAAGGTTTCGATTCTTTTATAAAAGTACTTGTTTTGTCCCTAATCAAAACAGGTCTTCATTCCCTTCCTGAAGGCAATAGAGTCGGGGCCATTTGTGTTGCCAGGAGGAGGCTGTTCTGTAAGGTAGCACCATGACAGAGAAGACAAGCTACATTATGTCTCAGCTTCCTAGGCCCCGCCAGGTGACACTGCTTCACTGAAGGAACCCAGAGCATGACCATTCTGCCAGATCTAATCTGCATGAGATTCTTCTCTATTTGCAGGGCTTGCTATACTTCTAAGCAAAGCAGGGGGGATCTGCAGAGAATCAGCCTTGCGCCCAAAATAAATAGAAGGGATGCTAGTGTAGGCATTTACTTTTCTATTGTTCAGAAATATAGAGCGATATGGAAGAGTTATTGCTTAGAACTCAGAGTTGATGTGCACATGGTTCTATGTTCCATCTTTGGAATGTCAAATTAAGGACCTGTAGCTGATTTTTGAGCTACCAAGAATATATTCAGACAGATATTTTATGCTTTCACACTGTTGATTCTGTGTTGCTCTGGAAAGACAGTTAAGTCTCAGATGGGGATAAGCTCCTTGTTGGCAGAAAAAGGCAGATTAAGGTCCTGGAGAAACAAGGTTTTTTTTTCTTTTTTCTGAGCATTACTATAGCTCAGTTCACACATCATACAGATTCATAATGTAGCTGTTTGGTTTGAGATTAGCGTGCTGTGAAAACTCAGCCTTTGTGATTTGTAAACCATAGTTTAAGGTTTAATGCAATGAACCAACACAGTACTGAACATGGAAGCCTTCTAGAGCAGCTGAACAACAGACCAAGGGCAAAAAGGATTAAACTTTGGGTTTCCATGTTGTCTTCCACAGGCCTACTTCAGATGCAGCTCATCTTGCATTATGATGAGACCTACCGGGAGGTGAAATATGGCAACCTGGGGCTGCAGAATATTGATAGCAAAATGCTGTTGGGCATCAGTGTCACACCCATTGCTGCACTTCTCTATACTCCAATATTCATCAGGTAAGCTCTCTGCTGGGTCACTTTTCTTTGTTTTTCCCAATAGTTACAGTCCTTGAATTGTGGTTTCAGAGCTTTAAAAGCTATAAAGCTGGATATTCACATCATCCAGAATCCAGGCATCTTTCTTTATCTTTCCAGGTTTTTTGGCACTAAGTGGATGCTGTTCTTGGCAGTGGGCATCTACACACTTTTTGTCTCTACTAACTACTGGGAGCGCTACTATACTTTGGTGCCATCTGCAGTGGCAATTGGGGCTGCCATTGTACCTCTTTGGGCATCTCTGGGCAACTACATCCTCCGGTGAGCCATTTGCAAAGATTGGGCTGAGAAGGAAAAAAAGCACTCAGTGAAAAAGGCTAGCTTTATCATAGTTATGAAGCTCTCTGCCAGTTTGATGGGTCTTCTTACCAGTACCATTTCCCAGGCTGGCCCTAGTATTGAGACTCTTTCACATTCTGTGGATGGTCACAAGGGAAGTGAATTACCAACCCTTTGGATGCTTCTGCTCTGCATAAGCAATTTGTGGTTGCTCCCACATGGAGAAATAATGCACAGTTCAGCTTAGGCTTTCCAGCTGGAAACAGGAAGCTATGCCAACCCATAAACTCTTTTTCTGCACCTCTATTTCAACAGGATGGCACAGAAATACTATGAATATGTGAACTACAAGCTGGAACATGTCCAGGAGCAGAAACGGGCACCACGTGGGGCCTACAATTCCTACATCACTGCCTTCAAGGCGATCTTCTATGGCTTCTTCTATGTGAGAGCTCTGCCAACAGAACCTAGTGGGTTTGGGGGAGGAAAAGATGGTAGGTAGTGCTCTGTGCTGTCCTCCTCTGTGTTGTCAGTTGGGAAATGACAGCTCTATTGCTAAGTTCAGCGCTTCAGAAAGGTCCTCTGTGTGGCTCTTAATTTCCTTTTCTCCCATCCCTGGTGAGGCTGACAGCTTATTCTACTCCTGTTTTCCAGCTGAGTTTTGTCTGTGCCCAGTTTCCCATGTTTTTCTTTCTGAAGAACTATCTCTTCGAGCTGAACCACACACTTTACTATGTCAAGCACTGTGGTGAGTATCTAAGATGGCAGCTATAATTTGGTCAGGCTGATACATAACGGGCTTTTCCCTTGAGAAGCCTTAATCACCTGCAGCTCCATCTCATTCTGTTCCCCACTGCTTGTCCAAGTGGGGCCTCTCCTTAGCCCGAGATCTTTTTCTTCTCCAGGGACTGCAAGTCATGGGATCCTCATTGGGTTCAACACCACAGTTCTCCAGAAATTGCCTCGCAGCAGTGAGCTCATCATAGTGGAGAGTGTGCTGATGGGAGTAGCCTTCCTCTCCATGCTTGTGGTATGTGTGCAAAGGTTGGCGAACTTTCTATCTTTACATTGTGGAATTGCTGGCAAAAGCAATATCTTCTATAAGCCAGCTTCATTCCCATCTGGGATAATCAAATTGATTATTGATGAACATGTTCCCATTTTGCATGGGATAGAAACACAGTTCTGATCCCAGGGTATTATACAGCTGCAGGAGGATGTATGTAAAAATGGACACCTAAGCAATGGCTGTCCGACAAAAGTGGCTAGGCTGTAAATTGTCCCTTAATGTGATAAGGAGTTAATCTATACTACAGTTATAAAGATGAGCAGAAATAATCTATTTCTCTATTTTGCTTTCCAAGGGGTGGAATTAAACTTGAGATAGGCCTGCCACTGAAAATGCTAGCCCCCTTTTGAGTTCATTCTTTGTGCGCTCTCCAATTTATTCAGTATGAATGACATGATCTAAGTGTATTTCCCTGACCCAAATAATTTGCTGACACTGACACAGGGAAAGTGGGAGAAAGTGAAGAGATCTACTTCTTCCCTATCCTTGTCATCCCCAAATGGCCTTTTGTTTCCACAGGTGTTGATTCTTTGTGGCTCTGCCTATCGCCCCACTGAGGAGATCGATCTACGTAGCATTGGATGGGGCAACATCTTCCAACTGCCTTTCAAACACATGCGAGATTACCGTCTGCGCCACCTCCTCCTCTTCTTCATCTACAGTGGCTTTGAAGTGCTCTTCCTCTGCACTGGCTTTACTCTGGTATGTGTAAGCTTCATAAATAGGAGGGACTAAGTACACAATGAAGCAGTGTTAGCTAATGCTTTCTTTCCCTGTGTGTGACAGGGCTATGGTGTCTGCTCTATCGGCCTGGAACACATGGCTTATATCCTCACTGCTTATGGAATCTCATCCGCTGTCTGCTCTACCCTGGTACTGACGATGCTGAAGCTGCCCCGGCAAGTTCCCCTGCTTACTGGAGCTTCTGTCCATGCCATCATCTTGATTGCCCTCTTCTGTTGGGAGCCTCAAGCCAAGAATTTAGCTGAAGCACCCATAATATACCTGCTGGCTGCTTTCTGGGGCCTCGGCAGTGCCCTCAACAAGACAGGGCTCAGCAGTGAGTAAATAATGTTGCTTTGTGTTATGGGTCCCTCTCCTAGAACAAACAGATCTTTGCTCCTATTCTGCTCCAGACTGAAAGTCTTGCCATGGTACTTGCTGGGCTCTCTGTGGAGCAGGAGGTACATCAAGCCAAGCTGAATAGTAAAAGCAGTTAGCAAAAGCAATTTCCTTGGATGATGTGGTATATGGTGATTAGTTGAACATTGCTTCTAAATGCTTAAAAAGTGTAAAATTAAGTTTTTCAACTGTTTTTTATCTGAACATCTTCACTGTTCACTAACAGAGAAAAATAGACACTGTCGGTGGTTTGTACCTTTGGGTGCTTTTTTGTTAGCTATGTTTTCCCCCATCCTCTCTAACACACTTTCCAACCAGCCAGTACTGGATTATTTATGAGAGTGAGAAAAAGAGAGAGAGAAAAGAAATCAGTCTCACAGTTCTGATGATGAACCATTCCTTTCCTTCAGCACTCCTGGGGATGCTTTATGAAGACAAAGAACGGCAGGACTTCATCTTCACCATCTACCATTGGTGGCAGGCCTTGGCCATGTTTGTTGTTTATCACTGGTCGAATCTGCCCATGAAGGTGAGTGAGGGAGCCAGGCATAGAAGAGAATTCTCACAGGTTGAAGGACAGAGCACGTTCTTTGGTAAAATGCAGGCAAGATATAAAGTGGGAAAGGAGGAGAATTTCTCTGGTCTAGTGTGTACCTGACCTGGAAAGAGTGAAGAAATAAGGAAACTATTAATGGGAGACTGTCAGAAAAGATTACTCTGTCCTGAGAAAGAGAAAAGCATGAGAAAGAAACTCAACCCTGCCTTGATTATGTTTGCCTTCCTTCATACCTGGTAATAAAAGGGAAAGAACTCTAAAGCAAGGCAAGACATTTTGTCTAACTTTGAATTCTCTCTAGCTGACTTCCTCTTGGACAAGGTTCAGGACAGAATGAAGGAACACCTGAATTTTGCTGTTCTTTAACTAACGGAGGCTTTTCCTTCCAGGCTAAATTATCCATCCTGCTTGTTACTTTGGTGGCTGCAGTGTTCTTCTACATGTGGATGGAACATAAGATAGCCCGAGGTGTTCGCTACCGTCTCCCTAAGATTCCCAAGCCCCGGCACAAAGTGCGAGGTTACCGCTACCTGGAGGAGGACAACTCTGATGCAACTGATTCAGAGGAGGAGAAGGAAGAGGAGGAGCAGACTGACTCCTCAGAGGGGGAGGCAGAAGCCAATGAACCCAATAGCCCACCACCCTGTCCTCGGCGGAGGAGACAATGTGCCTATGAGGAGGCCTTAGGGGAGGAAGTTGGGGATAAGAGGGGGTAGTTCCTGCTTTGCTTTCACTGTCCCACTTGCAATATAGGTCAAGGGCTATGACTCTCAAGTGCCTTAGATTTCAACTTCTCCCTATATCACTAAAATTCTCTTCTTGTGGTTGGTCCTGTAATGTTTTAACTTTGCCTTGGAAAGATTGTGTGAATTATATCCTTGGGTTGCTTTTCAAGTTTAGGAAATCATGGGTCCATGTTTTAGCCTGGAGAATAGGTCATTTGACAGTCAAGATTTTAGGACTTCCCCCTGCTTCATTCTCACCCTCTAACGGTGGGAGAAGTACATTCCCTTGAAACAGCCTTAATGATTTTGAAAGATGGGTATCAGGTACTTAAGAAATAAGCCTTGAGAAGCAGAGAAAGAGGGAGGAGTATACCAACTTCCTTATAATTTAGATAAACAAAGAGATAACTTAGATATTGCAAGGATATATACAAAAATATATTAAGGACTTCCGGGGACAGTAATGGAGGACTGAAGATGGCTCCGCTTTTGTGGAGCTGACAACCACAGCAAAAAGAGAAGCCGGTGAATGGATTGGCTCCTTGGAGCCCCTCTCCAGATTAAGGAGAAGACAAAGATCACCCATAAGTTTGCTCCATACAGAATCTCCCTGCAAAGAGATCATAAAATAGCAATCTCCAGTGGGTCTGTGAGTTCTGGGAGCTGGGGGAAAAACATTGTGCCTAAGCCATAGTTTGGCGCCTTTCAAAGAGACACTGGGTTCGCCTACTTCCTCTCTTAATTACTTTAGGAAGCTGCTTTTTACTGATTTCTTAGAAGTTAAGAACTTTCTGAAGTGCATTTATTATACTGGCAAAATTTCCTTCAACCCTGGATGAAAGAAGCTTGATATAAGTGTAAAGATTAAAAAGAGTTACTTTTTGGAAACAGCAAAAGGGAGACTAGAATGTGGATTTTGGCAAGTTAAGGGGCTAGATGGAGTCGAAAGAATATTTCCTGTGGAGTGTTTAAAAATGTATGAAAGAACATATGAAGTTTCTGAAATTAATTGTAAGAATTCCTCCCATGGGAAAGTTTTGTTGACTGGAAAATAAACAGATAAGAGGGGACTTGAAAGCTGTCTAGAGGGAACCAGAGAGAACAAGTGATTACAATTAAAAGAGAAGAGACCATTAATACAATGGAGCAATATTATTTAACTATAGAAGAAATTAAGGTTGTTTGGGAACAACGTACTCAGAAATTACTTACAAGATTGTGTGATACTATAACAGAGGATATAGAAGTATATGGAGTGTTTTGTCTGTAATGATGTACTAGTTTATTTCCAGAGGCTTAGCTTATCTGACATCCAGTGTTCACTTGTGTTAAAAAAAATATATTTGCCCCAAAGCATTTGACTGATTACTGTTAAGTTTTGCAAGTGAGTGTATTAGGACAAATTGAAAAGAAATGTCTTAAGTAGTTGAAGTTTATATCATCCTAGGGCTGTAATTCTGTACACATTTAGCTGGGAGTAAGTGCCTTTTCATCAATGGGATTTACTTCTGAGTATGATTGCACTGCATGAGCTAACAAACAAGAACAAACAGAAGATTGCCACTGGAGCTTGGTGTGTGAAATTTAAAGGACAGTCCTTAAGAAATTTTGTCTCTGAACAGTATGCACTTAGCTAAGCTAACACCTGAGAAGGGAGCAAGAAGAAATAAAAGGCTGCTGCTGCTGCTACTATAGGAAACAAACATGAAGATGAATGGACGTACTGTAGCTGCATTGTCATCACCTGCAATGCTTGTGGCATGTTTGTGTTCCTGCCCAAGAACGAACTGACACGTTTTCACAGCAAATGCAAGCTTGTAACAGTCCTTGAAGAAACATTCAGAGGACTGAAGCATCAAGCGCCCATTCTTCAGCTCACAAAAGAGGCTGAAGATACATTACTGTATATCAGCAGCAACTGACAATGGAAGCAGGTGTCTACAAAGAAGGCAGAGAAGCGAGCCCAGTGCTTAAGAGTAACGACGAGAAACAAGAAATATCACATTCTGCCCCATTGGAACAGAAGCCATTTTCAGTTCTTGGCAAGGAGAGGAGAGGAGACCCTAGGGAAAAGGAAAGAGAGCAGCTGTCCCCAAGGGCAGAAAAAATGCAACTATGCCCTGCAAGAAGACGAAAGAGTTGCAGGAAAGGACTCGTAATGAGGGACTAAAACAAATGTGCACAAATCAGACCAAAAGTCTTGTAAGGTGTGCTGTTTAACAGGAGCATGGATTAGAAATTTGACAGAACTAATTATAGCATTATCCTTTCCTAATAATGCCTGTAGGGACAGGTGATTCTACAAAGAGCAACTACAGTTGCATCAGCATAGATTTTTAATATCTAGGTAGAAAGCTCAAGACTTTAAGGCCACAGGTAGTATTCTCATCCATCCTTCCAGTCCATGGAAGAGGGCTGGGAAGGGGAAGAAGAATATTGCAAGTTAACGATTGGCTATCCAGTTGATGGTGTGTCAAGGCTTGATTAGTGGCTGGAAGATGCTAGCCTGCCTTGGGTGATTTATATGAACAGAAGAACAAGAAAACATAAAATAAATTTCCTCATCAACAGCCACTGTTAGGCTCTCCCTGACAGGCACAAACTTGGCAGGCACAAACTTGGCTGAAGTTTCCCAGACATAATTAGGATTAAATCTTTATTATAATTCAAGAATAGTTGCTGTTACCAACAGCTGACATTAAGCCTGATTCCAGAACTTACAGGTAGTCTTTGAGTTACAACTGTTCATTCAGCAACTGTTTGAAGGGACTTACAACAAGTACTTGAATTTGGATGCAGGGCAACCAGCTCGCAATGATGACCAGTTGCAGCATCCCACGGTCATGTGATCGCCATTTGCGACCTTCCCTGCCAGCTTCCCCAAGCAAAGTCAATGGGAAGCCAGCTAGGAAGGTTGCAGGTCTCTGGCACCCCCCCCCAGCCTTTTTTCACTTGCACCCTCCTTCCCTGCTTTGCTCGCACACACCCTGCACCCTCTTTCCACAGCCACCCTGCGATCGCACACACGTACGTACCCCATGCCTTCTTTCCACGGCCTCCCTGCGATTGCGCGTGCACACACACACACACATACACACTGCCCTCTTTCCCTTGCCTCCCTGCAATTGCATGCATCCCACACCCTCATTCCCTGGCCCTTCTGAGCTTGCACTGCACCAAGCACCCTCTCCCTCGACTCACGCATGGCCTGCACTGGGCCTCCCCCGCCCCTGTGCTCCTTATCTGGGACTCCCTCTGCTTCCTGCTTAATGACCCGTGTGTCTTGGGCTACGACAACAATCAGGACTGCCTGGATTGCTGTCGCTAAGCAATGCAGTCACATGACGTTGCACTTTACAACCGCATCACTTAGCAACGGCAATCCTGGTTCCAATTGCAGTTGTACCTCGAGGACTACCTGTGTTATCTTCCTTGGAATCAAAACTTGTATCCTTTCTTCATGCATTTCCCTAAAAAGCTGGCCTTTCATTTTTCACACTCACTTGTAAGGTGGCCCGGGAGTCTTTAACTAAGAACAAAACACTAGCAAACACTGTGAAGATTAGAGACAAGAGTAAATCTTTTGAGAGAGAGGCACAGCAGGAGAACGACATGTTTGAGACCTGTCTATGTATAAATACTAAACCATTCCTGCTCAGAAACCGTCAGGTTGTCTGGCATCTACAAAGACAAGGACAAACACTGCTGGAAATTTTAATACCATGTACAATCGCTGAATAAAAGTGCATATTAATAAACTCAGAGCAATAAGTAGGATTCCACAGCAGGAAAAGCAGCTCAAGATGAGTGGGAGTTGCTAAAAAAAGGACAGTTGCAAACAGTTCCAATATGGCTACCCAAAAAGCTTAATGTCAATCTGAAAATCAAAAAGGACATATGAAAGAGATGAAACAAGAAACCTCACCAAGGAAGAGCATCTATGAGTAGCCTGGAACTGTAGACATGGTGTCAATCCTGGTGACAGGTCTAAAGTGACACTGTGTGGAAAGAAGCAGAAGTGAGAAGTGACTGAGAATAATCCCAGAGAGAGTAGTGTACATGCCCAGGAGCACGCAAATTGAAACCAGACAAGATTCAACGACTGCCAACAAGGAATGATAAAATGAAAGTGAGCACTGAGCAGCAAGTCTTACTTAAACCAGCAACAGCCAATGAGCATGCAGGAAATGACAGCTGAGGAGATATGGAAAGATGCTAGCACAAGATAAAATGAAAAGCTGTACAAAGAACTTGTCAGAAGATAGTGTCCATACACACAACCATTGTTCCAAGCACGCTGTCTTCTCCAACACAGTTGTATTGCCTGGGCAGTATTGTAGTGAAGCTTGGTGAGTGCAGATGTGTGTGTATAATTTAAGCAATTGTAATCTATAAAGCTAGAGGCTAACAGAAATCCATTATTGCATAAGATCCCAAAGTTCAAATCTGTAACATCAGAAAAGCTAAAGCTCATAAAGCAAAATCTTTAGATAAATTTAAAATAAAAGGAAAAAATCAGTACAACGTTGGCTTAATAAAGATGGAAAATGCAAGCAGATAACAGAACTACTCAACTTCTACTTTTGGCTTCTTCAACAGCAGCAGCAGTAGTAGATGGGTGTAAGGACTGAAGCTAGAGAGGTGGGAACCACTACTTCTCAGGCTGCAAAGAACCATTATGTAAGCATTAAGCAGATGCCTTCCAGTCTCAAGTCTGGAGAAAGGACAGCCAAAAATCTATTGACTGAAGGAAGAAAAGGCCTAGGATTTCTGAGGTTGGCAGAACAATTTTCTTCTTCGCAGTAAAGCAACTTAAGTCTGTGAAGTTTCTGTTGTTAGCTAGTCATAGAAAGTAGGGTTAAATTTCATGAGAGTAGAAGTTTATTGGGCCTACATGAAATCTGACTGCATCCCACCAAGAAATTATAAAGAGTGGGATGAAAGAGCAGAAATAAAACTTGATATAAACATGGTTCATAAGCAGGTCAAGGAACACCTGCTTATTTTAAATCTCCATTGCCAAATTAATTGCATTCTAGAGTACTGAGAGATTTATTGGATTGTCTGGATGAACATTTATGTTCCAATATGGCTACCCATCTTTGAGAAATTCTGGAAAATGGGTGAAGTGACAGATGATTAGAGAAGAGCAGATGACCTTAACTTCAAAAAGGTGGGCAAGAAGAATTTGAGGAACTATGGATCAACTAGTATACTAATATCCAGGATGATTTTAGAGCAGATTATAAAGAGTCTCATCTATGAGCACCCTAATATTGTAATGTGGAAAGTCCACATGAGTTTGCAAAGAACAAGTTCTATCAACTTTACCACATTTTTAATTGAATATTTCCTTACTAGATTCTAGGAATGCTGTACATATATAGATATTGATTTTTATTTTAGCAAAGTATTTGATAACACATTCTATGGCATTCTGATTGGAGAGCTAGTTAAGTATCATGTGGATAGTAATAATTGAGTAGAATCATAACTGTCTTGAAAATTGTACTAAAATTTGTCATCAATGATTTTCAT